CAATGATTGTTTCAGGTGAAGGACTCGTGGGCGACCATGGTGATGGGACGGAGGAGACATGACGAGCGAGGACCATAGGCTGTTTAGTCACTCCTGTTTAGTTTAAGTCATTAGTTAAGACCTTATGTTATGGCCAATAAACTATTTGTTCGTATTTGAATGATTGGGAGGTTCCCACTTGTTGATTTTATTTCAGAATAGGTGTTTATCTTAGTTCTCTACCATTCATTGAGTTTTGCCTAGTTTGAACAATAAAATTGCCCTGTGAGGCTGTCCACGGATGTTGTTGATTGATATTCTATGGAATTGATTTATTGTTGGATTGACCAGAGGTGGAACTTGATTTTTTTTAAATAATTGTTGCATAGGGAGTTGGTATCATGCGTTTGGGGTTAAATTTAAACAGTTGGGTAGTTAAAGTGACCTAGAAGTGTGGGATAAATTATGGGTCATTACAATAATGCTTGGGAGTACGACCAGAAAACCAAATCACATGATTCCAAGATACTTGAAAACGACCCGTAAGATGAAAAGCTTCCTAGGGACTCAAGATAAAGAACATTCTTGAGGATGCAAGAGTATAGTAATACTATTCTATATCCCTAAACGAGTGATAAAAACTACCATATTAGCTTGCACCTCAAAAGATTAATAGAGATACAGAGTTATTGCGAAACTATCTGGTGCTAAGAAGTCATAGACTCTCGCAAAAAGAGCGCTAACATTATCATGGATAATTTTCTCCTCGTATCTTTACAATTAAGGATTTGACGGTAGCCAAGAATCCAACCACACAAAACATCGTCGAGACCGTTCCTAAGAACATGTCTAACAAAAGGATGAAATTGACTATGAATACTTAAGATAGTCTTTCAACACGAAGAGGAATTGAATAAAGGTTGTATTAGCTAGATGCAATGCCACGTAATACATAAGCCTCCACCCATGCAACCCACAAAGAAACTACTTTAGTAATCAAATTCTAGAAAAGTTTCATAACGATGACCTTATTACAAGAGGCTAAGTCATTTATCCCTAAACTCCCATCAACAAAAGACAAACAATAAGCAGCCTTAGCCCCCTCCCCTAGACATCATCTCCCCCTCCAAAGAAATGATCAAAGAATGCTAACCACATCAAGAATAACCCACATCAGCAAGATAAAAACATTATGCATAGAGGATTGGCCTACTTAGTTGAGCCTTATTGTATACGCAACACACGACACACGATTCGACAAGTTGTGGCTCTCACCACAAAATATGCTTTAACAATGATTTATAATCTCTATAAGAAAGCCGAGTAGAGATCAAGGGGTAGACCTAGGTACTACCTAAGTAGGGAGGCAAGGTTAAACCCTATAAAAGAACTAGTCTCTTCCATCTTCTATGTCCCACCCAAAATAGTGAACTCTTTCTCAAATTAGTAACAAACCCAACTATGAACTCAAAATAAGTAAGAGACTCCTTGACAAAAGAAAGCACACACTTGTCTCCTGAACTAAAAATCATCAGATCATTTGAATAACATAAATTGTCAAGCTGAATACGTTCACATGTGGGGTGAAAACCAAAATCTCAATACAACTTATTTAGTAAAAGTGATAACAGCTCTAATGCCATAGAAAAAAGATAGATAAATAAAGGATCCTCAAATGCAACCCCTTTCTCTGGGGAAGAAACCTTACAAAGATTGATTAATAGCAATTGATAAGAACATAGGAGAAATAATGCAGCTTCTAATCCAATTAACAAACATCACAGGGATCCAAATAACCAACAGAACACCCATAATGAAATACAAGTGGATAGAATCATAAGTCTTGTATAGGTTCATTTCAACATACAACTCAATTTTTCTTACTCATCATCTCTTAACAAAGAATAAAATTATAACCAATACTCCACCCTTGAACAAAAGTGAACTGATTCTTACTAATAAGTAGCGCCAACCAAATCTTAAGTCGATTAGCAAGGATCTTGGACACACACTTATATATAACATTGCAACATGAGATAGACTTGAAGTATCTAAGTAATTCTGATAGGTTAGGAAAACCTCTCCTTACTATTATTCTGTGATCACAAGTATCCACTCGCAGATTGCTTGACTTAGCCAATATTTGTATCACCAACACATTATACCTGCTTGAAATTATCTTATCCATTTATTAAAAGTAAAATTAAGGTAAAAATTAAAATGGTTAAAAAAAAGGTTTATTTACTAAATACATGTTTTGAAAATTTAAAAATTCCACCAAATAAGCTGGAAGTTAGGATTAAAATAGATATTTGAAATGGTAAGAAATAAAGATTTAATCCCAAAAAAACAAGTGGGTGTAGAAGAATATTAATATCTAACTATCATTCTTTTTTTTTTTTTTAAGAAAATTATCATTCAATTGTTTAGTGGAAAAGATAAACGGGTAGATATGTTATAAAAATACAAAACAAAATAGAAAACAAAAGTAGATTAGAACACAAATTACACCCTTTAATAAATTTTAAAATGCGGCTTAAGTGGTGAGAATAGAAAGGTTAAAATACCATTTTGATCATAATTCTATTATAGTTCTGGAATTTTTAAATATTAAATTTTAACTAATGTATTTTTTTTAATAATTCTTAAAATTAGCCCTCACCTGTAACTTATGATTAAGCTTTCTAGAAAATATATCTATCAACTTTTCTTTTAAAAATTTGAGAAATTGATTCACGTTCTGTCTTTTTTTTAACAAAACATATTAGGTTAAAATATTATCTTGGTTCCTTATACTCATTTTGATATTTATACTTTTAATTTTAGTTCATTTTAGTCGTTATATTGTTAAAATTTTTGCTTTGGTCTATGTACATTTAAAAAATCACCATTTTAGTCCATATTTGAAAAATTTTAATACAAATTTTACGAATATAGTATCATGTCGAAACTGTAATAGAAAAATTATATTAAAAATAAAATTAAGTGATCAAAATTGTCACTTTTTAAAAATACAGGGATCAAAACGAAAATTTTAAAATTACAAACTAAAGTAAACTAAAGGTGAAATTAAATGATCAAAATTAACATTTTAAAAGCACCCTGACCAAAATCAACCCATGAACTAGAGTAGTACTTTAACCAAATTATTTATTATTATTTTGTCAAATTAGATAAAAAAAAAAGGTTATCTTCAAACAAAACGATAATGACTAATTTTAAAATTTGCCGAAAAAACATAGACTAAATTTAGACATTTAAAAGCAGAGAAATTAAATAAAATGGTATTTTAATAACAAAAGAAAATGATAACAATAATTAGGGGCTCCACGTGGCAGTAGAATATGTGGTGATTGTAGCTAAAACTGTACGCCGCGGGTGAAGAAATCAAAGCCCTCTACTACGCAGCTCAACAATAAAACGGAATACTGGCTCGGGCTGGTCCATTGAATCGATTTCTTTTTTCCTTCTTTTATTATTAATTTTTATTTTTTGGAGAGGCGATTTTTCTTTTTCTTTTTCCATTAAAAAACAAGCGTATTACGGACAACGACTCCGAATATTAGTCTCCCAATTCTTACGGTTCTGTCCCCAAACGGAATTCTAATATTTCCGTTATAATTTGTATATATAGAACCCAACTTCCCTTAGTTTTCATCCAAAATAATCTTCTTCTTCTTCTTCTTCTTCATCTCCGTTGCACTCACGCACTCCCCACGAATTTTTTTCTTCAACCCAAATTCTTCGGCTCCGGCGGCGTCTCCGGCTGCTTTCCTGTACCGGATGGGGATCGCGATGGCCCGAAGAGAATGACGGATAGTCGGCTCCGATCATGTCGATCTCTTCCTC